TACTAGGGGCTCCTGGCATCGCTACTAGTAGCAAGGACGCTACTAGGCGGAGTAAACCTATTTGTGTTTTCGTGCCACGTGTGCCCCAGTGGTACCCAGGCACTGCGCCCATATCCCATTCCAACTCAGGTTGTATGGGCGACCAACAAGGCCACACCTGGTGCAATTGGGCGTAACGTTTTTCATTACACCAGCGTAGACCCCAAACAGTTTTTCGCATTTATTGTCCGTTGAATTCGTTGATTAAAAACAGACAGAATTCGTTGAATTCGTTGATAACTTTGCGTCATTGTCAAAATACACATATAAGCTCCTTTTTGCATCTCGCGGCCACTTCCCCAATATGGCACACCCATTGTGTGACCCACCCACTGCCTGGCAAACCCAAGTGCTTGGCACACCCTAGGTGGGGGCCACGTGAATGGGAACCCTGTCTGATGCTGGCAACCAGCAGGAGACAGATCAAACCTGATTAAAAAACTCTCGACGTCGACCGGGCACTAGAATTGACATTGCCATAGCAACATCCGTGACAAACATGATTTTTTTGCATGTCGGCACTTTGTTGTGGAAGTGTTGGCTGTATGCAACTCATGCGCCGCAGTGCCGCTGATTGCAGCAAACTCGCTCTCAGCTCCACTCAGCTCCACTGCTTCCTGACACGAGTACTTTTTGCAAACCCCAATCCCGCCGAAGAGGCTCTTGAAGTCTGAGCAAGCATCCAAACTGAGTTTGAGCCAGCAAGTACAATATCAAAAAGTCATAAAATAAATAATCTACAGTACATTCGGCCTAGCAAAATCAGAAGCAAGCGCACAGCGCATACATCAGAATTACTCTGTTGCGCTGCTTTCAGATTTAGAACTGATAGGTTTATCGGCGTGGCTCATTTGTCTCAAGACTCTCGCGTTTGTCTCAAGACTCAAGCTTTCATGGGTACCTGGCATAGCATCTGTCTCAGCCCGTATCACCTCAAACACTCTCAATTCACTGACACGTGCTGGCACTGTGCATACGGAAGAAGTGCTCTTGCAAGCGACTACTCGACTCTCTCTCTCTCTCTCGTCGCTCGGCCTGCAAGTTCGTCGGCAAATAGTGTTCGGCTCACCTGATGACACATGACTTTGAGAGGAATTGCACTCAGAAATCACAAGGAATAAATTCCAGCGATTCTAATTCACATTCCAAGTACAAAACACAAATGCAAATGAAGTACTTGAAGGATGAAGGCACTCACCTTCGTGCTCTCGCCAAGTCTTGCATGCCTGCAGTTTGAGTAGTCCCCATGACCATGCGCAAGCTGCTTGGTAAATTGATGTGTATATAAATTGATATCGTTTCAACAAAAGTCGAACCAAATCAATGCGAAGGGTTCTTCAAGGAAACTCCCCCGCCATCTTGAAAGAATCCTAACTTTTTCTGGGGTTGTCGGGCGTTACCTCTCCGCAACAGGATCGTCAAAGCGCTTCTTCTCTCTTAAATCGCACGGCGGTTTGAATCGCACAGCCTTACAGCCAAATCTAAGGATCCCCTGCGGGGTCCTGGCAAAATCGCAAATGGCACAGGTTTCTTGCGGCACTTCGCGAATGAAGTCCGCAAATCAATTCAAGGGATGCAGCGCAGTCCTGCTTCGCTGAATTCGTTGAATTCGTTGAATTTATTGTCTGCCATATACACCCCCGTCCGCCCCTTGGTCAGTTTTGAAAGCCCTCCAAAACGGTCATAAAACGATTGGAACATGGCTTCTGACAACCGTTCCAGGAAGCATGGAGCAGCATCAGCCCCCTCCATGGTTCGTTCCAACCATCCAATTTTATGCGTTGCGCTTTTGGCACGCAACAATCCTGCCGAGTTGGCCATGACTTGACTATCTGGCGCGTGCATTGTGCACATTTTGGACACCCAACACCATCGTATCAGCCCCGCAACGCAGCTCCACTCACCTCCCAACAGGCTTCCGCGAAGCATGGAGCAGCACTACCCCCACCCATGCTTCGTTCTACTTGTGCACCCATCTTCCCTCCCCAGCCCCGTCCCATGCGCCATCTTCTCTGCCAGCCCCCCGTCTTGCTCCCCTCCATCTTCCCTCCCCAGCCCCGTCCCCGCCCATGCACCTCCCGTCTCGCTCCCCTCCATCTTCCGTCCCCAGCCCCGTGCGCCTCCCGTCTCGCTCCCCTCCATCTTCCCAGATTCGCCCCGTCTTGCTCACATAGTCGGCTTTTGCCACGGTAAGCTCGCACCAGTTCAGCTGCCACAAGACGCCCTTGAGGCTGTCATTTTCACGTGTCACTCTTTCTAACAAAGAAACTGTTGTGTTCACCGCTGGGTCTTGCTTGTACGACTGCGTGTCATCTTGGAGAACAAGGTCTGGTGCCATGGTCTGCTTGTTCTCTGGAACGCAAGCCGCCAAGGTCTCAAAGTCAATGGGCAATTGCGTGTCTGGGGGCGCCTCGGTCACCAACATGTTCCTGCTGGATTGTACCACGTAGCCATTGCCAGAGTCATGTTTGCCGGCAAGAGCGTAAAAGCATAACGGCTTGCGCTTGGCCAAGCCTTCTTTGACAAGAAGCAGCTCCTGAGGATCATGCTCTCCTGCGTCAAACCACATGGACACTGTCATCGCAACGCGCTTTTCCATATTTTTGTTGCCGTCTTCGATCACTATCTCGCAAACCCGCCGCCCACTGCCAATGGTTTTCAACTCCTCCACTTTCGTGACAAATCCCATGACATCAAACTGTTGCGTTGTCTGCAGGGATAAGCATTCAGCCACCTGAATTCTGGGCTTTGGAAACCAAGTCTTGTCGGGTTTCTCCTTCACAACGTTGACCTTCGTCGCCTGCAAGTTCACCACCTTCTTGATGGGAGTGTGCACGTAGGCTAATTTGGAATCAGCCAATTTCACTCGCGACAACTCCAACACACTGGAGCTTGTATACTTCTTCAAGGCTTCTTCAGCAACTTTTGGTTGCTTCTTGGAGGGCTTCACTTCTCCCATGCAATAATCTCCGCTTTCACCACTCAGAAGGCAGCAGAACATTTTGTACCGAACTTCGCTCCCATTCCAAGTGTATTGCACATCGACCAACCGAGGGAAGTGGACTTGAACTCGAAATGTCAAAAGATCTGCTGCCCCTCCCATGGAAAGATCTGTCAAGGAAGCCATCGCAATAAACCATAGAGCGGCCCTAGCTTGAGAAGAGTCCTTCGGTCGATACTAGTCATCATACAAGAGCGCTAGCTTGAAATGGTTTAGCCATCATACAAGTCTGTTTCCACCGAATGAATCCCGAGCAGGGCTTGGCCCTAACGCAGCACCGAAGCATCAGAACTACCAGGACTAAGAAAAAGAAATGCATCCTCAGGCCCAGGCATTGCAAAGAATTGTTGCCGGTTGTTGGTGCAAAGCGTTCACCTGCATGGCAGTCACATGCACAAAGCCGGACCATGAAGCAAAAACACCTATCTGCCACGAAACATGCGTACAGGCGGACCAATAAGCAAAAACACCTGCTCGCACCGACCACGGTTTGGATCCAACGCAGCATCGTAGCAGCAGAAATCTAAACGCTTGGGGGGTGGTCAAAACATCGAACCTTTAAACCTTCCAAGTGAAGCGTGCGAGTATGCTTCAAGCATGCAAGTGTTTCAGGCGCTACAGCCCCGTGTCGTGAGGTGTTTCGCCATTGCTTTCTCCAGTTTGCGCAAGCAGCGGGCGCAA